CCATCAGTGTAGGTCAAGAAATGCCTTTGATTTACCTAATTTTCAAAGGGAGTAAAGGAGAACACTGCCTTGAGACAGGAAAATGTTCTGTACTTAGAAGACCATGCACTTCAAAGGCCTGCAGGAGCTCTGTGATCACTTTAATTTTCTAATGTCTTAATGTTTAAACCTAACTTTTTCCAAACCCATAATATTTCTTTCAGAAGCAAAATTCTCTTCCAGATATCTTTTCTCTGTCTTTTCAGCAATGCAGCCCTACGCTCAGACAGCTGCAGGCCAGTCCTCTCTCTCGCCCTGCCTTTGTCCTCCCACTGAGTGGCAGATTGCTTGTGAAGCCCCATGGAGCCTGGCCCCAATGCTTTCACAATGAGTGCCCTTGGCCAAGTTCTTTAGCGTTATGAACAGTCCCATATAGTCTTCTTCAAAATGCCATTTGCTAAAGTATCTTGTTGTAAATCAGCAACATCCAATACAGATTATACATCCACCGGAGGCGCATACTGCATCTTCTCTGTCTTCATCTGTCAGTACCTAGCAATGTCCAGAGCAGAGACTAAACTACTAGGCCAGCATAGATAGACCTACTGTGTGATTCTGCTGACTACCTGCAGAACTCAAGCAGCAGACATGGGCCGACAGAAGCTATGCTAGAGTTGCTCCTCAAGCGTCAACAGTTGCTACCCAGGAGGAGGCAGGGACAGTGGGAAATCCAACTGGAGATCTGAGCACAAGCAAAATGTTCTGTGAGGAAAGGCAAACGTTCTCCCTGGTGGTACCCGTGACTCTCAAGTCTGCTTACTTACCCTGGACACTCGAGAGCCAGTGTGGACCCAGTTCTTCCCAGCTCTTAAGGCCAAGCATATGAGTACTACCACTGACCCACTCACATCCTCAAAAGTACATCCTTTGAATTACATCTCCAGGAGTGGGAAGGGGCTTGTGCTGAGTCACCCCAGCTGTCTTTCCACCCTGTGGTTGTGAGCATGGCCTTCTGGACCCGCTCTGTCACACCCTATTTGTGCAGCCAAAAATTCTCTGTGCCTTTGATTCTCTGTATATGAAATGGTGATCATGACATCAGCTGCCCTATAAAGTTACGAGGATTAAATGAGCATCATGAGGAGCCTGGAACATTGCCTGGCCCATATTCTATACTGTGTCTTACTTATTTTGATCCATTCATCTAATATTAATCTAAAATCTCTGCTCTGGACACTGCAAGGTAGTGAGAAGTAAAGTAGGAGCTCAATAAACATTTTGAATGCATGATAGACTTGGGGAAATAGGCAAATTTACCAATCATTTCAACCAAATGACAGTATATAACAGCACGTGGCCTGTAGTGCCTGGTACCATAGATTCAACAGCTGTTTTAATTATTGTTCAGCAGCCCGAATGCTGAGATGGAGTGTGCGGACCGGAGGTTGAGGGCGCGGAGGTGGAGGTTCACTTGGGGAAGTCTTCCAAGAGCCAGTATCATTGAGCTTCGTTTTGATCAGGGAGTAGGCGTTAGCCAGTAAGAGAAGAGGGCTAAGAGTGTTCCAGGCAGAAGGAACATTGTGTGCAGAGTCAGAGAGGCGTGAAATAGCACAATACATTCAGGGAACTCCAAGTAGGCAAGTACGAGTGGCGCCCTATTCTCATTGTGACACACGGCCTGCATTTGGTGAGTGTTTGAGATTAGAGGATGTGAAAGGAAAGAAAACAAGTGAGACATTGCTTGTATCCCTGGCCTTCAGCATTCACTGAACAACCAGGAAGGACGAAGTAGCTAAGGAGTTTAATTGTTCAGTGTAGTCCCTGCCCAGGCACAAACACTATGCAGCCTGTACAGAGCTGCTGTAGCGTCAGCCCCTTCTCATCTTCTGCTAGAGGAACTAAATCTACTTAATTTGTCTCTTTTTTCCCAAATTAATGTAGGTGAATTACAATAAAGCTGCTGGGATCGTGGTTTAGATGAAGATGTTTTGGGGTAATAACATATTGCTGTAGTTCAGAGGTCAGCAAACCATGGCCCTAGGGCTAAATGCAGTCCACTGCCTGCTTTTGTAATTAAGTTTTGTTGGAACACAGCCACGCTCATTTGTTTACATGTTGTCCGTGGCTGTGTTCGCACCACCACAGCAGAGAAGAGTACTTGTGACAGGCGCTGTATGGAGCCACCCCTGAAATACTTACCAGCTGGCTCTCTGCAGAGAATGTTTGCCAATCCTTACTCTACATTCAGCTCTTCTAATCTGCTAAGTAAAAACCGATACTTACAACAAGGGCTTAAGGGCTTAAAGGCTTGGGTTGGTTGCAAACAGTTTTGTGGCAAGCAATAAATTCCTGAATTTTTAAAAAGTTCACTATTAAGATTATGTACAGAGCTGGATGTGACAGCACACACCTGCAACTCCAGCCGTCAGGAGACTAAAGCAGGATGGCTGAAAGTTCAAGGCCGGTCTGGGCTACGTAGTTCAAAGCCAGGATGAAGCACAAATCAAGACCTTGTCTCAAAACAAGCAAACAGACACTGCAGATATGTTAGCCATACTTATACAGCACATATGAATAAATGAAGAAACATAGGTTCTGAGACTGGCTTTCAATATTGACTCTGAGTTTCCTGGCTGTCAGATACAAACAAACAAACATTGGACTTGTTCCTCTGCATTGGTTACCCAGCATCTTGTAACAAATTATCTTAAACTTTAGTGGCTTACAAAACACCCTCCCCGTGCCCCTCTGCCATTCTGTCTTGCCTTGAAGCCAGCCGACTAGAGAGTGAAATGTGAGCCAGAATAAACCTTTCTTCCTTTAATGTGCAGGTGTTGGGGACTGCTTCTCGGCAACAAAGAAAGTAACTAAGACAGTATTTCTCATGAATCTGTGAGCCTGTTGTTCTGGGCTGGGTCCAGCTGATATTGGTGGGCTTGTTCACACATGTGTTGTCAGTTCCTGTGTTGTCTTAGGCTGGCTCGTTCAGGATGGCCTCACTTGGGACAGTTCATCCCTCTGCACAGGCTCTCTCTTCCTCCAGCAGGCTGGCCCCGGCTTGCTCAATTAGCAGCGATAGGTTTCAAGAGGGAAAGTGGAAGTATGCGCTTGAGGCTCAGGCTTGAAATCAGCACACTGTTACTTCTGGTACATTGTAGTGGCCAAAATAAGTTACCAGGCCAGCCCAGATCCAAAGAGTAGGGAAATAGATTCCAACTCTGAATGTGAGGAGCTGCAAAGTCACATCGCAAGTGGCACAGAAGTAGGAGGGACAGAATTGGGGCCAAGTTTGAGATCACAAATAATCAATCGTAATCTAAAACAGCATGCATTTTGACCATGAATTTTTAAAAAGTCATCTCTGTGGTCTCAAGTGGAAAGAAATATTCATCATACATGTCTGTTCAGCCTCACCCACAGATCTGAATCATCAGTGTCTTCAACTACAAGAACCATTATCCTCTAGCTAATGACAGATATAGAAGAGGAGTGGAAAGAAACCTGTTGGAAATGTAGTATCACATGAGACCAGCCCCACATTCAAATACCACCTGACCAATTTCATTAGGGGACCAGATCCAGTTAGGTTAAAATGATGAGAAGAATGAGTGTCACAGAAGCTGTCAATGACTAAACTAAACAGCCTTTGAGACCAGAGTCTAAACAGACCAACAATATTCTTGCCAACCATTCCATGCTCTGCCTTGTTACCAGGTGGTGTTAAATTGGTCACTGATGACCTTGCTGTCTATGTATATTGATGTTGTAGAAAAGACAGGTGTGGGATAATTTTTTTTAACTCACTAGTTGTGTGATGATTTTTTAAATTTCTTGCTAAAAAAAAATTACCATTACCAAATGTGCCTCAATAAATAAAGCTAAGTATAAATAGTGCCAGCAATGTCAGAAAGCCTGCTTAGTTGTTCTCTTCCTAGGGCCAATAGGAATGCCAGTAAGAAAAGATCAAACACAGGTAGCCCTTGCTTCTTAGACTATGTCAGAATCCCCTGAAAATCTAAAACCAAAACAAAAGCAAACCTCTCAAAGCACTCAGACAAAACCACACAGCTTAGGTTTGAAAATGTCTTTCTGGCCCAAAGCCAGTTGGGGTTCTTAGCCTTGTCTTTGAGACACCAGTGTCTTTACACTCAGACTTCCACGGAGCAGCCATTGTCATACTTCTATCGTGGCAGCCCCAGTGGGTGGAGAGGGACATACCAGATTTAGGGAACTACTAGCTGCCTGTTGACTCAGGCATCGGGGCCAGCTGTGAATGGGAATACAGTTCAACGCAGATACAGTGAAAAGAAACAGAGCTGTTCATGTTATTAAAGAAGTGGAGACAAACCTCCAGGATGTTCGTAGATGATTGGTTTATGGGTGGTTGGGGGGGATAAGTTTGTCTTGAGAAGAACAAAGGAAGCTTCCAAACTTCTATATACTATGAAGTACTTAGAAAATTAGACCTCAACAGATGTTGATTCTCTTCCTGTCTCTGGAGATCTCCCACCCATCTTGGTGATTTCCTAAAAAACAAAAGTCCTGCCAGCCAGCTGCCACTGGAGAGATGTCAAGTAGGATAAGCTACTGATAGGTGGTAACAATCAACCTAATTCAAGTTCAGGTGGAGGGAGGGGGGTATATCCCCTCTTCTGCCCCCCTGGCATCACAGCTGGAGGCAGCGCAGAGATCCTCCTTTCTTACTGCAGGGGAAGCGTGTGTGTTCTCTCAGACCTACCTTGGCATTCCTTGATGTCTTACAGAAGCAGATGACCCTGGCTGAGCAAGACAGTCAGCAGAACAGCAGCCCTTGATGCTGCATTTGGAAATTTCCATTCTTTGCTTGCGGCTCTGAAAAAAAAAAATCTAAAGAGCCCAGTAGCTGGGAAATTTCCACGATGGAAAATTTTAACATATTCTTTAGTTCTAAACTATGCAGGTTTATAGACACTATTTTTTTTGTAATTTCCTTCTTTAACAATAATTTATGAACATGGTAACACTACAGCTGAGGGAAAAAGGAGGGCAAGATGACCTGGAGGGGAATGGGCATGGTCTAGCAAGTGGGAGGCTGTGCTATATAAATGTATGACCACCCCAATCATGGAAATGCAGATCTCTGCAAGACCCACTGGTTGGGAACTCATCCAAAATAGTTTGCCCTGGAGCACTGCAGAGAAATCTGTGTAGAGACTGGAAGTGGGAAGTAGATGGAATACAACTTTGGAACAAAGTATGGTAAGTTCTGTTGCTGGAAAAAGCAATCTCAGACAGATCACTTAGACCACTGCCTCTTAACCCCAAATGTGCATTGCAGTTACCGGCAATCCTGTTCAGGTGCAGATTCTGATTCAGCAGGTCTAGGGTGGGGCCTGAGACTGGTTCTAACTGGTTCCTACATGATGCAATGTTATCCGATTGAGGACCACAGTGTCAGAGTAGTAAATGCCCTAGCAGAGGATAGCTGGAGGCAAGCTGCTCTGGGACTGTTTTCTCAGGTTACAAAGCTGAGGTCCAAGGGTAGAACCTGAAGAGATGCTCCATGCCAGTCTGGGTAAAGCAGATCTTTTGCAAAGTGGGGATGGACAAAGTTGTCAGAAGGCTGCCTCCTCCAGCATACTCAAGTTGGGGGATTCTAGATATCAGTGCCTTTGCAGAGAAATCTCTGCATCAGATTGGTGAAGATTCCTGTGCTGGTCCTGATTCCTGGGTGATTCTCCAGCCCTGAACCTTGTGGGTGAAACACTCCAAATATTGGAGTGGAGTGGATGAACCAGCTCCAAATATTGAGGGAAGACCGTTGATGAGAACTGAGCAAAGGGAGGAAGGAGTCCAGAGAGTAAATTACTTCCATCCCAGCCAGAGTGTTTGTTCCACTATTGCTAAGATAACATAAAAAAGGAATTGGAGAATTTTCTATTTTCTTAACAGCTATTTTTACTTTGAGCTACGTATATATGAGACAGAGAGACAGAGAGAGATATCAAAATCTGTGGCATTGTTATTCTAGGATGTTGCTTCCACTTGATCTGTAATGTGTCTGCTTTGCACATTTTTAAAGGAACATTTGTCCCATTTTTCATTTTCCATTCAATTGAGTTTTGGATGGGTTATTAGTCTTTACTTTTCAAATGAAAGTACACAGAGGAGCATATGGAAGGAAAGGAGGAGGGAGATTATAATCATGAAAATGTGACTGAAGTCAGAGCGTAACAAGCATGAAATGAATTTGATTACATAATAAAAAGTATTAATGTATATGTTAAAAGTAAGTAAGTTTTCTAGTATGCTAACATCTGTATAATGCTAAAAATTCTAAGTGGCTTACAGATTGCTTAGGGATTTGGACTTCTACAGATTGCTTAATGCCTCTTTTTCAAAAATCTTCCTATGGGATCAAGATATGATTCAGATTTAAATAAAAGAGACCAAATATATTTTTTTCCTTCTCCTGTCTTGATGAGCAATTAGTCACCGTCTTACAACTTACAACCAAGAAAATAGAACTTGTCCGATTCATCTACCGTCATCTTTTTAAAGGAGTGCTTTTTAATGTTTGAGGTAAAATTTGCATAACAGAATTTGCCCATTTAAAGTGGATAATTCAAAAACAAAACAAAAAGAATAAATAAAGTGGATAATTCAGAGGGTTAGAACATGTATGACACTGTGCAACCATCACTTACTTATCTAGCTCCAAAATATTTTCATCACCCCAAAGAGGAAACCCTGTATCCATTAACCAGTGGCTTCCCAGTTACCCCTCCCTCCATCCTCTGGCTACCAGCAATTTGTCTCTGTGGATTACCTGTTCTAGATATCTCATTCCTGCAAGATGAGGCCCTTTGTGAAATCGCATCTGAAGAATAAACATTATAGTTATAATAAAATTGAACACTATTCAGTGCTCATTACCAGTGAGGCATATCATCCTTATAAGGTATAAATGAGTACCATTATTATATATGAGAAAATTGGGACTTAGCTTTATGAACAGCCTCAGATCTGTGCATTATGGCTAAGCAAGAAATAACCTTCCTTGGTCAGGCCCACTTAGACTAATACTTTTTTCAAATACCACAGCTAGATCTCAGCTTCCTTTCCCTTATCACAGACAGATGGATAGTTACTCCTTCTCAAGTTTAACAACTTCACAGAGCTTGATTCAAATACTGAATGTGTTGTTAGTTGATTACAGCTGCTATTTCTCTAGCAGAGCAGTAAGTCCAGGCAAATTCTTTTGAAGAGCTCATTAAAACTGCTAAAATAAAGTCTTAGAAGCAGGTGCATTCATTAGCTGAAATGCAGATGATTATGTTAATATCGCATTCAGGTGACAAATTTAAAGGCATCAAAATCATGGAGGATAAAGGATTTTCAAAGCTAAAGTTAACTTCTTCCTTTGTAAAGTTTTTTGTTCTTTTAAGCATGTGACTAACTGTAGCTGTCCAATGTGGGGACCTCCAGCGTTATCTCACAAAAATAAAGCTGTTTTTCAGTATCATGTTTCCTTCATAGTTTTGTGAGTCTCTAGCAAAAGAAAGGTAAGGAATTGTCTACAAACACTGCTATATCTGGGACTCCAGTGGTAGCTTATTGTCACACTAGACCTATGGCTAGAAGAAACACATTAAAGATGATTAAAATATGTAGCCAGAGCAGGGGATATAGCTCAGTGGGAAAGCAACATGGACAAGTCCTTGGGTTCAAGTCCTTTAATCCCCAGCACCAAGAAATAAACAAACAAACAACAACAACAACAAAAATAAGGAAAATGCAGATAATGATTCCCGGTTTGAAAAGATGGAATGGCAATTCTTTTAGTTTGCCTTTTAAAAAATCTCGAATAGGAGCTGAGCATGGTGGCACACACCTGCAATCCCAGCATGTGGGAGGCTGAGGCAGGTGGATCATCATGAGTTCAAGGCCAGCCTGTACTACACAGCAAGACCCTAACTCCAAAATAAATAAGTAAATAAATAAATGTCTCAAATAAATATGAACATGAAATATGTACATGGCCACATGTTAATATTTCAGCAAGATAATTTAAATTTTCGGTGTATATTTTTATATTTGCCAAATTTTCTATAATGAATATCCAAATTTTAAATTAAAATTTTAATTGTTTAAGTTATAATTTTAAAAAGTATTAAAAATTATTAGCTGGTTATGGTGGTGCACAATTATAATCCCAGCTACTGGGGAGGTTGAGGCAGAAGGCTTGAAAGTTCGAGACTAGCCTGGGAAAATTAGCGCGATCTAGTCTCAAAATAAAAATATAAAAAAGGCTGGGATATAGCTCAGCACCCAGTGAGTTTAGTACCACCACCAGTACTACCAAATAAACTAAAAGAAAAGAAAAGAAAGCTCTTAGCCTCTCCACATTCATTTATTTTACTTGTAAAATCAAATTACTATTTAATTGCAAAGTACATAGAAGTTGAATGAGATGTTTCCTCAATTTGCTTCCTCTTCTCAGGTCTATGGTATCCGTGGAAACAATGCTATCTCCTTTAAGAAGGAAATGTAAGAAAATACGATTAAGTATCAAGCCACTTAATACAAAATATGTATACGCTTTAAGTATTTATAATCTTTTTCAAAATCTCGGTCAAATAGACATGCATCTAAGTGAATATATCTTCCACTTGTGAAAGGGAAAAAAGATTGAGGAAATCTTTCAAAGACAAATGGACTTTAGTCTTCTTTTTTTGGTTATAAATTCTATAAATCCTTTGTAAACTACTCTGCTAAAGCACTTGTAATTAAGAAGCAAAAGACTTCTTGGATGGTATAATAGTTATATTTTTGTCTTTCTCCTTCAAGTCTTCTCCTTTATCTTTCCCTGTACATTATTACTTTCTCTTTCTTTTTTTTCTCTACACAATTAAGAAGATTATTGACCCCTTCCCATTTAAAATGAAAAGCCATATATAAAGCATGGGTGGGGTTTGGTGAACATACAGTTGTCCTTTCTTGTCCACAGGGGATATATTCCTAGTGCATGCCTAAAACCATAGATAGTACTGAACCTCATACTTTAATGACCTTTCTATTTTAACTAAGCACTTACCACATACTGTGGCCATAACTTTTGCAGTTCAGGGTGTAACAGCAAAACTAGTACACATTTCTTTTTTCCTTCTCCACTATTTCACAGACTGAAGGTTTGTTCTTCTCATAGATCTCAGAAACCTCAGCATAAATTGTTCTCTTAAGTTGATTACTTTCACCTCCTCACTTAAAGGAAGCACTTTATGGCTTCTCTGTGACATACTTGAGTTGTTAGCACCACTAAGTTTGTGCCTTGGGGCAGTTATTAAGTAAAATAAAGGTTATCTGAAAATCACTGTCATAGCATGACAATCGATCTGAAAAGGGAGATAGTCACCAAGTGATTTATGGGCTGGTAGTATATACAACATGGATACACTGAAAAAGGGATGATTCATGTCCCTAATGGGATGGGACAAGATAGCATGAAATTCCATCCTGCTACTAAGAGTAACATGCAAGTTAAAACTTACAATTTGTTTATTTCTAGTAATTTCCATTTCTACTTTGAAACCAAGACTAACTTGCTGTATCTGAAACCTCAGATAAGAGGAAACTGCTAGATATATGTATGCATATACACTCCTCAGCATAGACCTAGCTGAATCCCTGTTCCGGGCTGCCACAACAGAAGTATTCCCAGCAGGGATTTACATAGATGCAGCTCCTCTGACTGCTGGACAGCTCCATGTCTCCTAGGAATACTTTCCCACCTACCCCTTCCCTTCTGTTTAATTCTCCAAACTTTCACCCTCACAAAGTTGCAGATTCTGGACAAAATGAGAAGGTGGCCAGCAGAGATTGCTTTCCTGCCAGTGTGGTGCATTACCACCATGGTATTGGGGGTGGAGAGAGCATTAGAGCACAGAATTTAAAGATGAATGGGAGAGGTCACTTTAACCAAGATTGTTTTGAGCACATACATACCCGGTAGTCATCTAGTCTGACCTTGAAATTTTCCAATGATGAAAAACTGTCTCACTGTCCCACAAATTTCCTCCCAATAGTAGAGCACAAAGAGCATTAGAATCACAATGCCAAAAAGAAAAAACCCAAATGAGTTCTAATCCTCCTACCTTTAAAAAAATCAATTCTTTTCAAATTTCTGTTTCTGATCTAGGACCAAGTCTCAAAGAAATAGGCCCCCATAGGGTCAATGAAGAAAGTAATGAGGCCAAATC